GAGTGGGCCACTCATGGAAACAAATATTGGCCTTCGTGTTTGGAATCTTTGAAGGTCAGATGAGCCCAGGGGAAATTAGATAGTGGAGTCAATGAAAACCGGACAGTAAATCTCATGAGAAGTTTGATACCTCTTCCTACTCCTTTCTTTTCCCAAAAGAATGGACTTTTTTTTTTTTTTTAAGAACAGTTTTAAATCTAGAAAACAATTTAGCATATAGTACAGAATTATCTGCATTTCACATACAGTTTCCAGTGCTAACATCTTTCCTAAGTGCGGTGCATTTGTTACAATTAATGAATCAATACCGATAAAATCCAGAATTTAGGTTAGAGTTCACTGCTGTGCGTGCAGTTCTAAGTGTTTGGACAATGAAAAGAGGTCTGCATCCGCTGTTACAGGACCATTTGGAATAATTTCATTGCCCTGAAAATGCCCTGTGCTTCCTCTGTCCATCACTTGTCTCCCATCTCCACAACTCATGGCTTCCACCCAACTTTTTATTTTGGCCCTTTCTAGAGTAACACAGGGTTGGAAGCATGTAGCAGATAGGCTTTTCAGATTAGCTTCTTTCCCTTAGTGATATGCATTTAAAGTTCCTCCCTGTCTTTTCAGGGCTTGATAGCTCATTTCTTTTTAGGGCTCAATGATATTCTGTCGTATGGATGGGCCACACTTTCTCCATTCACCTACTGAAGGGCACATCTTGCCGGCTTTCTGTGCTTGGCCATTATGCGTAAAGCTGCGATAAACATTACCGTGTGGGTTTTGTGTAGACATGTTTTCAGCTTAGTTGGGTAAATACCTAGGAGCACAATTGCTGGGTTATATGGTAAGAGTAGGTCTAGCATTTGGAAAATGCTGTCTTCCAAAGTGGCCATACGATATTGTATTCCATGGGCTAGGTATGAAAGTTCCTGTTGCTGGGTATCCTGGTAGCATTTGGTGGGGGCTGGGGTGGCAGGGAGAGGGGCCATTTTAATAGGTGTGAGATGGTGTTTTGTTTTATTTATTTTTTAAAGGTTATTTATTTAAGTAATCTCCACGCCCAGTGTGGGGGCTCAAACTCACAACCCTGAGATCAAGAGTCATGCACTCCTCCCAGTGAGCCAGCCAGGTGCTCCGTGTATTTTGTTCTAATGTGCAATTTCCTAGTGATAGATGATGTTCAGCGTATTTTCATATGCTTCTTTGCCGTTTGTATATCTCCTTGGTGAGCTATTTCTAGATCTTTTGCCCATTTTTAAATGTGGTTGTTTTCTTATTGAGTTTTAAAAGTTCTTTGTATATTTTGGATACAATCCTTTATCAGATATGGATTTTGCAAATATTTTCTCCCAGTCTGTGGCTTGTCTTTTCATTCTCCTAATGGTGTCTTTTGCAGATCAGGTGTTTTGAATTTTGATGAAGTTCAACTTAATAGTTTTTTTTTCTTTAATGGATCATGCTTTGGGTGTTCTATCTAAAAACTCACTGCTAGACCTGAGGTCATTTAGATTTTCTCCTGTGTTACCTTCTAGAAGTTTTATAGTTTTGCCTTTCACCTTTAGACCTATGATTCATTTTGAGTCAGTTTTTATGAAAAGCATAAGGTCTATAGCTAGATTCTTATTTTTTGCACATGGAGGTCCAATTTTTCGAGAACCATTTGTTAAAAGGCATTAAAATCCCTTTGCTCCTTTCCTCAAATTAGTTGAGTATATTTGCGTGGGCTCCTTCTGCCCTTTAATTAAAATTTTGGCTACTGTTTAGGGGGAAATACTGATAGAATTCGCGGCAAGCAGACTCTTGTTGAGTCCCTCCAGTCAGCAACCAAAAAATAATTGTTTGGCATATAGAGCTTGTGCCTTGGATAGGAGTGGAAATCATTGCTGCTCACTCCCCATATTAACCTTTACTCCTTTCACAGCGCTCCTTTCCTGCTCTGCTTTATTTCCTGTTTTCCTTGTTTTCTCCCACCTTATAGGACACACGTTTGAGAAATCTGCAAAACACATGCGATAAAACAGTCTCATTTACCCCCTACCTACCAGCCACCTAGCATTTCAGAAAGATGAATTTCAGCGATATCACGATAAACGTAGGCGGTCTATTTTCCTGCTGGGGTCTTACAAAGTCCCTTAGGGTTCCTAGGATAAGCTCTGTACCAGACTTGCAAGAAGACCTTTGGGATTGTAGGGACGTTACCAAAGAGACAGGATGGATTCTGAGCTCACTTGCAATGTTAGTTACCGAAGACCAGCTGTAAAAATTGGTCACAGCCGTCCTAGTTTGGAGTGAGGATTTCCACCACTTTCCTATACTTTAAATGATTGGCACCTGCCAAGTAATCAAAACATACAAAGAGGCCTTTTCCGCAAGTTCAGCTAGGCATTTCCAAGCAGCTAACGACCGGCAGGGCCGGCAAGCCAGAGGGCCAGTTCGGCTGCGCGGCTACTCGAGAGTGTGCGGTAGCCGAGGGCCGCGTCCCCGTAAAGCCGAGAGCTGTAATGATGTCAACTTGTTATTTACTTTCCAAATCTGAATGACTGAGCAAGGCGAAAGGAGAATCAATCAACCACAATGTGACCCTACAGGCGGAAAAAACGCAGCGCTCCCACCAGCAGGCGGTGGGGGAGGGGAAGCACGTGTAACCGGGGCAGGGTTGCATCATGAGCTCGCTCGGGCTCTCAGTTGCACCCTTGGTTTTTCGATTGCATGTAATACCTCAGCATCAGCCCGCACAAGCCCAGGGAGCCGGGGAGCAACGAAGGGCAGGCTCAAGGGAAGGCCCCCCACGTCCTTTTGGGGACCCTTGAATGGCAACTGATACATATTAAGACACAATCTATTCTGCTGATTCACAATTATGGAGACAGTGTAAGTGTGTATTTTTTATTGATGTGCTCTAATAATGGTGTAGCAACAGTCGTTTTTACATCATTGACGTTTTACTGCAATATTTTTAGGTCCGCCTTTATGAGGGAGGACCAGCCCCTTAAAAACTCACCTCGGGCCCCTCCCTCCCCCCCCAACAACCTGAACAACAAATGGTCTAGTGTCCCAGGAAGGAGCAAGTGAGGTTACAGTTTAAAATGCTGAGTGTACTGGGCTCTGCGCGCAACGCTCATTATACACCAAAGGGAGGGGCAAAGTTATCTTAAAATATTCAACAAAGCAGACGCCGAAGCGTAGGGTGGTGGGCGCGGTGTCTGTTTAATTGAATTAAGACTGCGAGTGGTGGGCAGGGGTCTCCAAACTGGGGGGAGGACGAAGCTCCGGGGACTTTGGTGCGCTAGGGCCGAGCCAAAAAAGTCATTGCAACATAAAACCCTTTGCAAAGCCTGTGGGTGGGGTGGGGGGTCGGGCGTGGGGAGGCCCGAGGGCCCAGGTACCCCCAACTCCAGAGGCCCAGCCCCCTCCTCTAAGGAGCTCCTGGCCTCCACTTATGTGTGCCCGAGTTTTTCTCCGCAAGCATTTCTGGCTCTTTCCGGGAGGTGTTTTGCAAAGGTCGAGGCTCCGCCTGAGTCCCCACTTTTTTTGGGAGGGGGGAAGAGGCCTTTGGGGTGTCCTCTAAGCCGCCCATTTTGAGACAGATGCACCCTCGGGCAGCTTGCAGGGGGTTGGGGGTTGTTAGGGCCGCCGTGGAGCTTCTTTTTTTGAGGTGGGGGAGGGTAACACGGTAGCTGTGGTTCGGGTTCCCCTCCCCACCCCCTGGAAACCGCGGGGGTGGTGGCCCGGGTTCCTGTCCCCTCTTGGCAGTGGGGGGAAAGGCAGGGTTTGGGAATGGGACTGCGTGGGGGTAGGCCCGTGTTCACTTCATCCCCCTTGGAGGCCACGGGGAAAGGGAGAGGTCCGAGTTCCCCTCACCCACGCTAGGGTGGGGGCCAGGGGAGAGCGCGGGGTGAAGGGCTGAGTAGGGTCGCAGGTTCCCCCACCGTGGGGTAGAGTAGGGGCTGGGTTGGGACTCGGGGCCTCCCCAGTAGCCGTGGGGGGTGCGGATTTTCACCCCTTCCTTCGCCGTGGGGGGAGGGGCAGGCCTAGCGTCCCCTCCCCCGGCCGTGGGGGAGGGGCAGGATTAGGACGCGGCCCCCCCCAGGGCGCAGGGGCGGGGCCAAGTGGACTCGGGTTCCCCTCCCCTGGCCGTGGGGGAGGGGACGGGTTGGGGGTTGGGGAGCGCTTTCCACCCCCCAACACCACCCCGGCCGTTGGGGAGGGGCCGGCCCGGGCGGCGGCGGCGGCGGCGGCGGCCCCCCTGGAAGTCCTCCCGGCCGGGGTCGGCGCGCTGGCGGCCGCTTCCCCCCCAACCCGGAGGTCACTGCCCGTGCCGGTCCCTCCCGCCGTCCCGCCCTCTCCCGCTGCCGCCGCCGCCGCTCCCGCCCCAGCCCCCCCCACTCTCCGCTCTCGGGAGCGAGGAGCCGCCAGCGCCCCCGCCCCGCCGCCGCCGCAGCGCCCTCGGCCGCCATTCGGCACCCGAAACTTTCCAGCGCCCGCGCCTCTCGGGGACTCGCGGCGGCGGCGGGGCGGGGGCGGCCCGGGGG